TTATTATATTTCCTTGTTCATGATAATTGTCTATTGTTCATGCTATATTTGTATTAACTGGAAACCGTAATACATGTGTGAATACATAGACCACAACATGTCCCTAGTGAGCCTCTAGTTGACTAACTCGTTGATCAATAGATGGTTATGGTTTCCTGACCATGGACATTGGATGTCATTGAACGGGATCACATCATTAGGACAATGATGTGATGGACAAGACCCAATCCTAAGCATAGCACAAGATTGTGTAGTTCGTTTGCTAAGAGCTTTTCTAATGTCAAGTATCATTTCCTTAGACCATGAGATTGTGCAACTCCCGGATACCGTAGCAATGCTTTGGGTGTACCAAACGTCACAATGTAACTAGGTGGCTATAAAGGTGCACTACATGTATCTCCAAAAGTGTCTGTTGGGTTGGCACGAATCGAGACTGGGATTTGTCACTCCGTATGACGGAGAGGTATCTCTGGGCCCTCTCGGTAATGCATCATCATAATGAGCTCAATGTGACTAAGGAGTTAGTCACGGGATCATGCGTTACGAAACGAGTAAAGAGACTTGCCGGTAACGAGATTGAACGAGGTATTGGGATACCGACGATCGGATCTCGGGCAAGTAACATACCGGTAGACAAAGGGAATTGTATACGGGATTGATTGAATCCACGACATCGTGGTTCATCCGATGAGATCATACATGTGGGAGCCAACATGGGTATCCATATCCCGTTGTTGGTTATTGGCCGGAGAACATCTCGGTCATGTCTGCATGGTTCCCGAACCCATAGGGTCTACACACTTAAGGTTCAGTGACGCAAGAGTTGTTATGGGAAATAGTATGTGGTTACCGAAGGTTGTTCGGAGTCCCAGATGAGACCCCGGACGTCACGAGGAGTTCTGGAATGGTCAGGAGGTGAATATTTATATATGGGAAGTCCAGTTTCAGTCGTTGGAATGGTTTCGGGGGTTATCGGTATTGTATCGGGACCACCGAAAGGTGTCCGGAGGTCCACCGGGTGGGGTCACCTGCCCCGGGGGACTTGATGGGCTGAATATGGGAGGGAACCAGCCCCCTAGTGGGCTGGTGCGCCCCCCAAAGGGCCCAAGGCGCCTAGGGTTTGAAAACCCTATGGGGCGCCTCCACCTTGCTTGGTGGGCAAGTTTCCCCCTCCTGGCCGCCGCCCCCCTCTAGATGGGATCTAGAGGGGTCGTCCCCTCTCCCCTTCCCCTATAAATAGTGGGGGTGGGAGGGCTGCCACACCCCTTCCCTTGGCGCAGCCCCTCCCTCCTCCAACACTTCCTCCTCCTCCGTAGAGCTTGACGAAGCCCTGCAGAAAATCCACAAGCTCCATCACCACGCCGTCATGCTGCCGGAGCTCTCCCTCAACTTCTCCTCTCCCCTTGCTGGATCAAGAAGGAGGAGACGTCCCCGGGTTGTACGTGTGTTGAACACGGAGGCGCCGTCTGTTCGGCGCTAGATCGGATCTTCCGTGATTTGAATCGGCGCGAGTACGACTCCATCATCCGCGTTCTTGTAACGCTTCCATTTCGCGATCTTCAAGAGGTATGAAGATGCACTCCCTTTCTCTCGTTGCTAGCATCTCCTAGATTGATCTTGGTGACACGTAGGAAATTTTTGAATTATTACTACGTTCCCCAACAAACATGTCTACATTTGACCAAGTTTAAAGAAAAAATATCAACACTCACAATACAAAATCATTACCATTACATTCATCATTAAGTGTGCTTTTATGTTTTATTTATCTAGTATTTTACGCGTTGATTGGTTATCTTATAAATTTAGTCAAGCATAAAAATGTTTGAACAAGATATGCACTACATTATAGAGAGGGAGTAGGTAACAAAATATGCAGTAGGTTTTTAGATTTTTGTTTTACTCTGTTTAGCGTTTGTGTTTTTCTCAGGAAGGCGAGGCGATGGTGACTCCCTGGCGATGGAATAATGTTCTCCCCCCTAGCCTTTGTCTCGGTGGTGCGTCTTGCGTTGTTGAAGGGCGTGTGGAAGTGTCTCTCAGGCTGATCTTGTGGGATTCAGTCGATGTTTGTCTTCGACGGTTTTGCGTGGATCCGGTCTGAGTTCATGTGTTTACAGGTTAGATCATTCTGATCTACACTTCTGTTCATCGACGACGGTTGCCGTTTTGATGCGTTGATCATTCGGGGCCCTTAGCACGACGACTTGTCGATTGCCTACTAAACCTTTGCCCGGCTCTGGAGAGGGAGGGGCGATAAGAGCGTCGCGCCTTTAACTCGCTCTAGTGTTTGTAGCAGACGTTAGGTGGTATACGGACATGAATGTAATTTGTATAACTCTTCGTGTTTTTTGTGTCGTCATGATATTTGATGAATAGATCATACGATTTCTCGCAAAAAATGCAAGCACAAAAGAAAACTAGGATATGTTTTCCGTGAGGTCTTTTTCAGTACACTCATATATACGCACATACACTCATCCTATGAACGCACGGACGCACAACCTACCCCTATGAGCACCTTTGAAATATTGAGTCGACATACTATCTTGAGATTGATGAAGTCGTCATAAACATCTTTGTGGTTGACGAAAACATTTTTTGCCTCTGAATGCACATCATCAAAAGGTTTAAAATAAATTCAGAAAAAAATGCATGTTTAATTTCACCTGGCCGGACAGCACAAGCGCCACGGATGCGGGCATGAGCTAATCGCCGTGTCCACTGAATGCACGCGTACGTCTCCCCATCTACCAGCAGAAGTTTCCATCGAGTCACATCCATCGACCGGACGTCCTTTGCAACTTCAAGTGTCGCGGTTAGATATTTGATGGAGTCTTGTATAATCTTGTCGATCTCTCCTGATCATCCATGGCTAGCCTCTTATCCATTCTCAACTCGACCGGTCATGTTTTTTCGTGCTTATAATAGGTCAGATCAGCGCGGCGGAAATGAACTGACCGCTGAGAATATACGTGCATTTTATTTTATCAACATAAAATGTTTAATTACGCTGCCAAGTAGTCATTCCGACAGTGCTGACATATGAAAAAGAAAGACAGAAGAAAATAGCGGACGTGACTATTCACCCGGGCTCAGCTAAGCCCGGGTGTGAACAGCAAAATCATTTTAAATGGCAAAAAAATACTCAAAAAATCCAATTCTTTTGTAGTGCAAGATACTCATGTGTGTGATGCCTATGTAAAATTTGATGAAATATGGATATTCGAGAAACTCGTGAAAAAAAAAGACAAAATTCGGGCTTCTTAGGAACTTTTGAAAACAGTATTGTTTACACCTGATTTTGTCTATTTTGCCACGAGCTCCTCGAATGTCCAAACATCTTAAAATTTTGCAAGAACATCACACATTTGAGCATCTTGCACCATAATAAAAATCGCCTTTTCCCTATTTTTTCGGTTTTACTTTTCACCGGGTGTAGATCAGTCCGGGCACCAAATTGAATTATCGGAAAGTAACTCATTTTCTTGCTATTATTTTCCACTACACAATTTTTATCTCTTGCATTGTTTTTTCTTCCTTTTCTGCATTTCTTTAAAGCCATTTTTCTGCCTTTCTGAATTGACTTACATAAATTGTCATCGGTGTATGATGATACTTTTACAGTTAGACTCTTCCACTCCTCTCTTATTTATCTTTTTTGCAACCATCATTTTGCAGGATAGTGATGAATTATCCTTCATTGCTAACTGTCGATGTAGTTGTCGACAAATTTTTTTCTCACCAATTTGTCTCTATATTTTCCCTCAAGTTCTATCCTTCATGAACCCTCCGACATGTCCACCTCATCTGCTTCATGACACATGTTCCATCTAAGGACCATGTCTTAAAGTGCATACCGTGATGTAACCATATCAAACATCTTAAGCTTTTATCAGCACGTCCCGTAATAGGGTTAGCAAAGGTGACATGAACACACTTGGTAGCATGCAGAGTCCACGTCCGAGATAACAAAGCAAGTAGGAAAACCTGCACCGCAAGAGACACTAGTTTCTTGAGACGTCATTTCTGTTGGTTCACATGGCGTCTGCGAACAACTCATCACAAGGAGATGAAGGAACCTGGATATGCATGCATCTGGCACGTAGATGAAGTAACTTTCATGTCAGAACCGCGTGGCGCTGCAAAGGTGTAGAAGTGATGTTGTACCGGACGCCTCCTCAATTCCAAATTTCCACATCTGTATTATAGTCTCCGTCGCAGTACTTGAAGCAAAGGCGATAATTTTTGAAAACCTCAAACTTTTAAAGTTAGAAATAACTTTTATGTATGTTTTTTGCTTTTAATAAAGAATCTTCGTTGCCGTTGATCTACATTTTGTTTTGATTTATCATAATTTGCATCGATTTTAGGTTATCAATAGAAACTATATCTTTTTGAAAGCAAGGTTATCAATAGAAAGTACTGTATATACAAAATCGTTTGTGAGGAAACACAGCCGGGGACGTTGGGACTATACCAACGCGTGGGAGAATTTCGCAACAGTTGCTTACATGATCAATCCAACGGCTTCCACGGTCACAAACCCAAACCTAGCTGACAGCGACGGAGACAAAGATGAGATGTGCCCTCGTCTCGTCTTTCCCTTCCTTATTCCGTTCGCTATAATTGCGTTGCATCATCGATCCGTCTCCCGCCGCTCACGAGATCGATCGACCATAAACAAATCAACCCAACTCATTTTAATTAATATAAGCCCGAGAAACGAGACAAAATTAGCAGTAGGAAATATAGGCATCGCCGTCGTCAAGTGGCCATCGCCAACGTCCCGCAGCCCCCGCCTCCGCCTCCCTCCCTCCCTCCTCCACCGTCTCCTCCTCCTCCTCCATCAATCACCGCATCCCCACCGGCGGCCCCCGGCAATAAGAACCCGAATCGCGCCCCGTCCCCCTCGCTCAAAATCCGGGCGAATCTCGCGCCGGACGCAGGGGCCGCGAATCCCCGAGGATATTCATCGGGAATCCGGGAAGAAAGCCCCCGCCATGGACACGGAGCCGCTGCTCCCCACCACGGCGCCGCAGCCGCTCCACCCGCTGCCGGAGCACGCGACGGTCTCCAACTTCGACCTCGCGCCGCCCTCCTCGCCCTGCCCCTCCCCGGCATCCTCCTACAAGGACCGCCTCATCTTCGGGCCCCACGATACGCCGCCGCCGCCGCCGCCCCCGCCCCCGCTGCCGTCGTCCGCGCGCCACTACCGCCGCATCTCCGTCGGCCACGCGGACCCGTTCCGCGACTACGACCACCCGTCCTGCTCCTCCTCCCCGCCCTCCGACGAGGAGAGCCAGCCCCAGCCCACCACGCCCTCGCTCTTCAATTTAATCAGCGGCCGCACCAACCTCCACCGCTCCCGCACCGCGCCCGCCATGGCGCCGCTCAGCGCCGCTGTCCTCGCCGCCTCCGCCCAGGCCGACCACCAGAACCCGCCCCCGCCACCGCGGAGGCCGGCCATCGTGCTGCACGCCTTCCTCTTCCTGCTCGCCTACCTCGGCCTCGGCGTCTCCTTCTACGCCGCCTTCCCGGCCAACTTCACATCCTCCGCCGGGCCCACCCACCCCGTCGTCGACGCCCTCTACTTCTGTATCGTCACGCTCTGCACAATTGGCTACGGGGACATCACCCCGGCCAGCCCTGCCGCCAAGCTCTTCGCCATATCCTTCGTCCTCATCGGCTTCGGCTTCGTCGACATCCTCCTCTCCGGCATGGTGTCCTATGTGCTCGACCTCCAAGAGCACCTCCTCATCACCGCGATCAAGAACCCCCGCTCTGCACGCAAGCACCGGCACAACTACATCTTCGACATCAAGAAGGGCCGAATGCGCGTTCGCATGAAGGTCGCCCTCGCGCTTGGTGTGGTGGCCATCTGCGTCGGCATTGGGGCCACTGTGCTCAGGAAGGTGGAGAACATGGGCTGGCTTGATGCCGTGTACCTTGCAGTGATGTCGGTGACCACAGTCGGATACGGCGATCACGCGTTCCGGACACTGCAGGGCCGCCTTTTTGCCTCTGGGTGGCTTCTCGTGTCCACGCTAGCCGTGGCACGGGCATTCCTCTACTTGGCGGAGATGAGGATCGACAAGAGGCACCGTGCCATGGCCAACTGGGTGCTGTCCAGAGACATGACCGTGTCAGAGTTTCTCGCTGCAGATATCGACAACAATGGCTATGTCACGTAAGTTATCTCAGTATCAAACCTTGTTTTCATGCCTGTATTGACCAATTCGTCTATTGAATTTCATTCGGCAATTTGGCATGTACAATGATTCTGAAAGTATTACGTCCCTGCAAAGATGCTTTACTAGGTACTTGATTTGCGGATAGTAAGCAACATGTGTGTCAGTTGGAAACCAGCACATCATGACATTATCAAAAGCTCTAGCATTCAGTAACAGTATAGTCATACCTCAACTCACAAGTCACAGAATATCTTGATGCCAGCTAGTGGACGGTATATTATTAGCACTAGCTGACATACTGTTATAATTTCCACAGATGAGCTGATAGGTTTTGTGGCTTATTTTTTACAATAGGGTGTTCCTTTTTTTTTGCAGTCCACAAATGAGCTGATAGGTTGTGGCTTATTTTTTACAATAGGGTGTTCCTAACAGTTGTGTTGTGCTTAACATAAAGATAAAATCTGGAAACGGTAAAATAATGGCTCTACTTGATTTATTTTTCTTACTCAGCTTAGTACTTATATATGATTTGTTTTGTCCTGCATTTTGAATTTGCTCAAATGGAAAATCTGAAAATGGGGTGAAGAACATGGTATTTGGAGACGGGTTACTATTGTTGTAATAGAATAATATGTGATCTGGAAAAGAGACGACTTAGAATACGGTGCATAATAATTATATGTACCATCTATCAGTTGTGATTCTGGTGAATTATGACCACACAACTTATTTTATGTTGGCATATAGTATGAATAAAATTATGAAATCAGTTGTCTAGCCATGTTAGTGGAATTGATTATTTGGTTGTTGTATTTTGCTTATGTTTCTATGTATATTTCTGTGATGAATTGTTGCTTTAAAATATTATAGAGCGGAATTAAAGGGCTGTAAGATGGCAAGGGCACTAAATCCAAAGAGCTTGACAGCCTTTTCATCTCAGAAGCGTGCCATAATAGGATCCGAAAATGGTTACCTATGTAAAGTATGGCGTCTGAGGGAAGGATGGTCTTTATTAGTAAAATACAATTGTAAATTTTAATGGAATCTTTAGTACTGAGTAAATGAATCAACTTATGACTACTGTATTGCTGACTTTTGAGCTTGTTTTGGTAACTCAAACATGTTTTGTGTTTAATGACAACCCTGAGCCCATCAGAAATGCATTATGTTAGGGTACATATTAATTTGCAAGAGAGCAATTAATTTTGGTAATGTCCTTATACAAGACAACACATTGTCCATAATGTTGTTTATTTATCATCATATGCACGCTGTAGTACAATCATTTATCATAATGGAAGATATTTTCATTAGTTATGAAGCTATACCATATCCTGTTTTTCTTATACTGAGGTATTCACATAGTTTGTTGAGGTTCTTCCTACTGCAGACACAAAAAAAAAGTGCTTCTGTTGTAGAACTTCATTAATCATAAATTAATCAGGGATAATTGATGATTATGATTATGAGGTAGTTTTAAAAATATGCACTGTATCGAAAATTTGAGATGGTGGATTCTGTAGTTATTCTGTAATGTATATGAATAGGGGAATTCAAGATACAGTACCTTTATTGCAATAGCTCACCCCCTTGGTCTTCCTTTTAAGTTGGACTGTTGGAAGCCTTGGTCTTCCTTTTAAGTTGGAAGAGAGAATTGTGCCCTGACAACACATTTCTTTCATGATTCTATCGCTTGTTAGTTGATCTACAGAATAAGGCTTGGTTTCTATCACATTTGACTTGTCTTCAAAAAGAAAAGGAAAAAAAAATCCCAACATGTATGAAGCTATTTTTCTCCCAAACATAGCATTCTTTTAGAATGCCCAATTCTTTGCTTTCAGCCTAGCGCTAAGAGTTGTTATTTGCTATAGTATATCCAGTCAGTTATCTTGATAATGTTTCAGTAATGCATTTAATTATATATTTTATATGTGCAATTATTTCAGAATCCATTGATGTTAACCCTTAGACTTCACAGCTACACTCATCTTCATGTATTTTTCTATGGTTGGCAAGTATGTTCTCAATTGTTATCTACGTTGAAAATGTAGTGGTTCTCACCAATCATCAACATAGAAAATGTAGTGGTCTTTGGCGTGTATTTTAATTGTATATTCATTCCATTTTAGTAAACTTAATTTATTTTGAATTGGTAAATGATTTGTTTTTGCATCCATTTCTTAGCACATTGATTTGAACATTTTGTTGAGAAGCATTTATTGTTTGCTTGAGTTTGGCATGCATGCATCCAAGTGATTTGCGTCTAACACTACAAAAATGAAAATGGAGCGCGCTTATAAGCAATAAAAGATGGAAGCTGCACCCTTTTATGGCTGCCTTAGCACTATACAGCAGTTGTCATTCGAACACAATACACAATAATTCGGATTGCAATAGTAAATCAATGTCGTTTAGGCTGCTGATTGCATCACACTGCTTTGTACTCATGAAGCTGCATATGCCACCCACATTTAGTCATTTACTTCTAATTCTGTGCCAACACAAATAGGCAATTTTCTCGACATGCTTATGTTGTTATACTTTTAGTAACAGTTATTACACAGCCAGAACGGTTGAGCACAACTAGTTTTTCCATCGCATTTCCTGGAAGAGCATTGCTTAGTTCCATTTTGGACACAACTTGCTTGTTTGTAGTAGCTGTATTGGTTAATGATGTTCTGCATTTGCACATTGTTTCAGGAAATCGGAATTTGTGGTTTACAAGCTGAAAGAGATGGGGAAGATTTCGGATAAGGACATCAAGATGATCGTGGAGCAGTTCCAGAGGCTGGACTCTGGAAACTGTGGAAAGATCACGCTTTCGGATCTCCTGCAGAGTCATCACCTGGGCCATGAACCTAGGGACATGAAAAGGGGGAAGAATTCGTGACGGATGGCGCTGAACCGAAAAAAAACCACCCGTAGGACAGTAAGAATTTTGGGACTGTAAAGTATATGAAAGGAAGGTTAGAGCTAGGATGCCTGCACCGGATGGGATCATTTGAAGGTAGAATAGCTCCAGGTAAGTTACCAGTATGCGGGGAATGATCCTACTGCCCTAGAAGCGGTGAGAAGATCATTTCATGCCTGTAGGAAGGAGGCTGTACATACAAGCAAAGCAGTTATCGAGATTATTTTCTTTGGGAATATATGTGGCAGGTGAGGTGATCTGTTTTAGCCTCTCACTCATAATGTTTCTCTTGTCTGGTCAAACATGAGATGGATGACAGGTGTGGACCGTCTGGTCCACATAACTGATTCAGGCCCGCGGTTGGATGCCAACGCCCCGCTTTTTGGTTAGATGGATGGATAGATCTCTACGGCGGAGACCAGGCGTCCGTTTTGTCTGAATGATGATTTGACGTCGTTTTCTCGACTTCAGGCAGAGTCACGCTGTCATGACATTTAATTCTCAAATCTTTTTTGGGCGCTGTTTGAGATTGAGATGACTATGTTTTGTTGGACGTGTGTAAATGTAGGTAACGACTTGTCGACTTGATCTGTTCCACGAAATTTGGTTGTCCAGCAAGTTTGGCGACGGGAGGTTGACCGGAAAACGAGGGTTGCCTCCCCTCCAGAGCCGCCACTGCATAGCATGGGTGGTCTCTGCCCTCTTTTTGACAACCTTCCCTGAAACATGCGACGACGAATGGGCTTTTGGGTGTAAGACGACATGGGCGCCGCAACTCCCGTTTGTTAAGGCCTTAATTGTTCGTATTTGAAGTCCGAGATTTTAGTCCTTCAAATACCTTTAGGCGGGGGCAACTAATAAACGAGCGCTCCTTCGGGAGCCTCGCAACGATCAGCGCCACTTGGTGCACTCACAGCCATTCGTCACGTGTCGCGCTCTGGGCGCTTTCTACGGGTTTTTTTATTTTTACGCACGCGTTTTCTGCTTTTTAAACGGTTTTTCCCGGGGGGTTTTTTACGTTTTGATTTTCTACCGGTCTTTCTTAGCTTTTCGACAAAAAAAATTCGAAAAAAATATTTCTTTTTGCGCAAAAAATGCATTTTTTTCGCGAGTCGCGATTTGGTTTTCGCGAGAGGCACGGCCGTGCCTCTTGGAAATGAAAAAAAAACATGTTTTCTGTTTTCTTTTCTTTCGCGAGAAGCACGGTTTTTCTTCCGCGGGAGGCACGGTTGTGCTTTCGCAAGAGGCACGGGCGTGCCTCTTTCGGAAAGGGGAAAAAACACGTTTTTTGTTTTTTTTTCTTTCGCAAGAGGCACGGTTTTGCTTCCCCGAGAGGCATGGTTGTGCTTCCGCGAGAGGCACGGTTGTGCCTCTTTCGGGAAGAAAAAAATGTGTTTTCTGTTTTCTTTCTTTCGCCAGAGGCACGGTTGTGCTTTTGCGAGAGGCACGGGCGTACCTTTTTTGGAAAAGGAAAAAAAACACATTTTCTGTTTTTTTCCGCGAGAGGCACGGTTTTGCTTCCGCGAGAAGCACGGTTGTAATTTTGTCAGAGGCACGGGCGTGCCTCTTTCGAAAAGGGAAAAAAACCCGTGTTCCCGGTTCGGTTTTTTCGTCGGTTGGTTTTTTCGTGAAAAAAAAGTTCGTCAAAACCTATCAACATGGGATCTAGTTTTGAAGATCTCGACGCGGGGAATCCAATGGCGAAAGCGATTCGAGATTTGGACGCACGATTTAAAAGATAAAACGTTTTGAATAAACGGATATACGAAAAAAGGGAAAACTCCCAGGTTGCGACAAATGGCGCACATGCAGCGCGCCATTTGTCGCAACCTAAGAAAGTTGGAGTGATCTCCGCAAGGAGTACTCCTTAACTAGTGATTTCGCCTTTAGGCCTCGTTTGATACAAGCGGATCGACGGGGTTCTAGAGAATTAACCTCACGGGCCCAGAAGCCTCGCTAATCCTCGTCAGCTCATTTGTTTTGTAAGAATTCGAGAGAAAACTTGTGTGTCATTGATAGTTGGGCAAAGCCCTTTATATACAAGGATTAGCGCCTCAATTTGAGGCGCCTGTTACAGGAGGTGCCTGTCCGGCATCGAAAAGGCGTCCGTATGGCGCTTTGGACACTAATAACTGTATTTACACTAATTCTAATGACGGCTCGCTATGACGGTTCAGTACGGACATGTCGTTTGATTCT